GGGAAAGCGCGAAAAACGTCAACCTTGAGGTAATAAGTTCTGGTCGGTACCTAGTTTGGGTAAAATCGACAAATGCAAGAGCTCGTTCCTCATGTTCCCACAGAGAAGACCCTGGTTAGTTTGAACAACATATTAGTCTGGGCCCTGTTTTTATTGGCCACACATTAGGTAACTATAACTGCATCACGTGGAAATGTGGTACTAAGTTTTCCATTGAATCCCTTTCATAAACATTTCGGTTTTTAAGGGTTCTTTTGTTTTTGAGTTAAGTAATTTCGTCTTGATATATACCTGGATATGTATTTCGTACACCAGGGCGCTGTCCCTGGAATGACGCCATATGCTAATGTTCGACAAAAAACCTGCTCTAGTTTTCATGCAGGCTAAAAGCCTACTGAAATGTTCGTACATGTCGTACGCTAGATGTTTTGTCATACTTGCTACCTAAAAATCGATAAACGGCAATATTTTGCAAACATTGCGATTTAGGGTTTTGTAGTAAACTTGAATCTTTATATTTTACGTCTAAAAGTATCAAGGACTGGTCATGATTCCGAAATTAGTTAATTACGCATTTGAAGAACTCCCGGCAATCCAGAGCGGCATAAATTTGAGCCATTTTTATGTGCGTGGCTCTTCAAATTGTTACGTCGCCTTCCATCACATTTATGTTGAGGAGTTGTCCTAGTCGTCTCCTTTCCATCATAGTTTCTGTGGCTTAATCTCTCAGGGGAAATCATATATATATATATATATATATATATATGATTTATATATATTTATATATATATTTATAAATTGTAATTTTAATTATTCTTTTTCGCCCCGCCGAAGAGTGTTGTGATTGTTGTGACACATCTATTCGAACGCGTTTATCTCTATGCAATTTTGGGGCATTTTCACAATTTGCGCTCAATAATTCTTGTTCTTATTTTTGACCTATAACCACAAAAATTTGCATATGTATGATTTATACCATGTAAAATGCAACTATCGAGGCTTGGTCTGAAGGTATATTTTTTTATATTTATGAAAAATTCAAGAACCTTTTGTTAGCTCTTTGAAAATGGCATTTTTTTTTGCAATTTCTTTTATTCCTTTTATGATAAAATAGGTGTAGCGCAAATTATTTTTCTTCATTGCACTGACTGGTTTAAGATAGCGAATATGTTTTTTTTTTTTTTTTACTACGCTCTTTTTTTAACTGTGATGTTAAGTTCTACGTGTGCGCAAGAACGTGCGTTTTTTTTTTTTTTGCATGTGCATAGCATGCGCGTAGATGTCCTCTTCAGAGAATTATTTATTGCTTCACCACGCTGGCACTCTTCTAGCAAGTTTGAAACTCCTCGTGCGTTCGTCACCAGTAGGGTCTTTGAGTAGACCGTTTCCGCAGCCCGCTAGGCACCCGAATAGCGCTCCATAATCCGCCACAAGACCTTGAACTATGCAGACAAGGCTGGCGGCGCGCATGCGCAGCTGCAGCGTTTTCTTTACGGATACCGTATAGCGGAGGAGAAAAACGATCTACGGCAACTCCCTGGTGCCCCAATCGTTCGCGGACCATCGAGGTTCCAATCTCGCGATTTCGGATGTCTCCCACAAACGTGTAAAAGGGCATGAGTCTTTTTTTTTTTTTTTTTCTGGTTATATTGATTTGATCCGATTTCCTCCGTGGCACGACGACGTCCCCGTGCGCAGCGGGGGTGCGGGGTTCGTTGACCGCGGATCGAGCGATCCGGGTCTTGGTGGCATGGCAGCAGGCAGACGTCTTCAAAGTTCGAGTCGCGTGACCCCGCAACCAGGGGGAGTCTTTCCCTCTCCCCCTTCGTATGCGTGACCCTAAACTTGACATCGCGGTGTTTGTCTTTCGACGGCGCAGTCGCCGTCTTCGTGCACGGGTAACACGCGAACGGCGCCGAAAGGACTCTGCTGTGAGCTCTTCCTCTTCTTGTCTCTTCTCCGTTCGTGTCAACGGGAGAGAGGGGCAGGGAAAGTTTACTTCTCTTTGGATTGCTCTTCTTGTCAAATACACCCGGGGCTATCGTATCAGAAGCCGCGTTGATCAAAGAAGTGCAATTCTCCGGGAAAAAAAAAAAGGAATGACTGTTTACATTTGCGAAGCGCGTTTTGGGTAAGGCCCGTAAGGGGACATTCGAGGAAGTGCAGTAAAGCAATTAGAGATACGATCGACTGTCGATGAGAGGGAGAGGGCTCGAAGAAGTACGCTAGTCAGAAAAGAACACTCGTCAGAGTCCGGAAGGGTGATAGGGAAGTCGGCCCATCATGAGCAGAGTCGCCTTCTTCGCTGGTGTTGATTGCGAATTCGTGACTGGTTTCCTATTTGCCGTGTTTGCTGACCAACGGAGTGGGCGAGGATAGGGAAATAAAACGATGACGCTATATTTGCGATAGAGTTGAACGTCGTTATGCCAGCTTTTGCCAAGGGCGGTCGGGGAAAGGCTCTTGTGGTGTGAGTATAGCGCTACAGGGAGTTTCACGTACGCTCGCGCTTGAAAACAAGCACAGTTTCAAACGAGGATACTTAAGCGAAAAAATAATAATATATTTTTTTTGTCTTTTTGGTTTAAAGACTGCATGACTTATTCTATGATTAGTGTGCGTTGTATGATTAAGACTTTTTTTTTTCACGGCACTTCTGTTATTCTACTTGTTTTCTAAAAATGTGTGGTTATGTGATGAAAGAGATCGTATAAGCTTTATTGCTTCCTAGAACAAAACGCAACAGCATTTTTGTTATCAGTTTAGTTCTTGAGATATTTGTCATAAATTTGCCAATCATCTTTGTCGCGGTTTTGAGAGTGTCTCAAGACATGGGTGCTTTACTTTAACATGGATTTTTTTTACATCAGATAGTGTGCTTCGGTGACTAACAAGTCTTTACTTTATATCATGATAGTAACAAATCCGAAATTTGTCACTTGTGATGTTCATTTGCCAGCTTGGGATTTTTTGTTGATGAGTTTTGAAATATGCTTCACTTTAAACCTTCTAAAGAGACCTATAAATAATCGAGTTCATTAATATTAATATCCATATGTTGATGTGATAAGGCTCCCAATATATATATATATATATATATCGGCTTTCAATGTCGATTCTTTTTATAAAACCAATATCTAACCTCTACTTTTGGTCAATGTGGGTAGTTCTGCATGCATTTCTATGATAGTATTCCAAATCAGGAATGCATAATGCCTTTACAGCAAAAAATAGTTTGGCTCTTTTTGTGTCTGGAAACATCTTCAGTTTAAAATACATTGTGCAGAGTAAAAGTTATTTTATTCAATTTTTCTATTTTAAATATCATGTTTTCATAGTTTTGTTACTTCTATGTTTATTGTTAAAATATTTGAAACCTGGTACACATAACAATATTTTTCTTGTCAAAATAAAATTTTCAGTAAAAAAAAGAAAACAAAAAAATAAATTGAGCACTGATTTTTTTTTTTAAAGAACTAACTAAGCCCTATCAGCATTCTAAAGGCAGAAATAAAAGTTACATCTAATACATTGCCCTCTAGGTATAGGCCATAATCCTGAAAAGCATACTTCATGTTGTCTTTGTCTTCTATCATCTGCGCACTTTTGGCAATGGTTCTAGAGTGAAGTTCCCCGCGTAGCACGAGAACGTTCTGAGAACATTCCGGGAATGTTCAAGAGAACATAGACAACATTCTTGGAATGTTGGAAATTTACGTAAGAACATTCTATCAACGTTGTCAGAATGTGGCGCAGGCACTTATCGCTATATTCGGGAAATGTTTTCAAAGATATATTCTTAAAACGTTCTGAGAACGACAAAGAACATTACCAGGATATTCAATCAACATTAAAATATCCTAACAAGGTTCTAAGAACGTTCTCAGAACATCCAAAGAACTTCTGCAACTTTCTTGAAATGCTGCAAATTTATGCAGGGACATCCTTCAGTCTCCCCGGAACGTGCGTGGGTTGCTGCTCCTTACATTCAGGGAGCATTTTCTGCTTATACAAAGTTTTTACAATTACGGTTTGATTAGGAAAAAGCACTAATCAGCTGCTCACATATATGAATGATGGTAAAGCCGCTCACAGGGCGATGGATATTTTTTAATCAAAAGATATTTTTAGAAGCGGAGGCACAATATTACCGCTTTCCCAGCTCACCAGCCCGAGCATGTACTAACGACAGTTTACTCCTACCTGTCACTTGTCAACTTCTTTCATTCAAAATGTTCTGCATACATAACCGATTACTCACTCCGAGCTTAGAACATAGCATCCCACACTCAACTGCAGGATATACCCTTTTCAAAGTATTTTACCCACGTGCGAAAAATCGGGTTTATTCAAAACTGCACTTCTACATACGCAGTGAGTGCAAAGTTTATTATGAAGTTTTGAAAACCATTCTTTTTCTCCTACAGCTTATATTACATTCCTCGGTAGATTCATATGAGATAGAACTGATCCCTTATGCTAAGTTTCCAGAAACTCCACTTAATTTGCATATTCTTGGCACAAAGTGGCATATAGTGGATGGTGTTTTGAACCACAGGTTGGGTGAGAGCTCCGTAAAGTTGGCTTCGCCTGCGAAAATTTTAGAAATGTTCGCAAGCGAACGTTCAAAGAATGTTGCACATGTGAATATTCGAAGGCGAATGTTCCGAGAACATTAGGCATACGAATGTTCGCCAAGGAACGTTCCTAGAGTGTTGAGCAGCTTACCTTGTGAGGAATGTTCGCATACGAACGTTCCTAGAACGTTCTGAATGGTGTTTTAACGTTCCTTCAACGTTCAGAACACCCAGGGAATGTTCGCACGACATTGGGTGCTACGTGGGTCTTTGCTCACATTACTCAGGGATACGAGAACATGGTGTATTATAATGTGGAAAATTGTTGTAGAAGTTATGTGTGTTGTGAACAAGGTATTTTGTTTTATAGATAAGTGCTTTTGGGAAAGTAATACTGACCTTAAACCCTTTGCTTCTTTTCAGGTCAAATCACCTGATTCATCTTCAGCAGTGCCACAAGTCCCACTCTTGGCAGCAGCCTCAGAAATCTGATTTGGGCCTAGCTTTTGAGAAAACAGGAATTTCTGAACCTAAGGTAGTAGACCTTTTTTTATTCCTTTTCCAGTTTTTTTTTTTCTGTACCATTTACCTATCCACATTTGCAAGTAGCCACACTTCAAAAGCTAATCTGGCTACCGTATGTGGAAAAATGCTTTGTTGGGATGCCAGTCTGGCAGTGGTGGACACATGTTAGCAAGATTGGAATGCTGGTAGGAATTATCTAGGAAAACTTGAACTAAGTACAACTGACTAGCACAGTTGGGGGACAGGTGGGACAGAGGAAAATTGGGACTCCCTCCCGTGTGGTTGCGGCCCAATGTCTGAACCCTGTCTCCCAGTGGGTCGGGGGTTACTTGACGTCGACAAGGTTTGACCAGGTAAAAATTGGCAACTCCTTCGCCGTGGGGAGGAGGTGAAGGATGATGTTTTAGTTTTTTTGCTCAAACCCCCAAAGGTCTGCCTGGCAATCATCTTCTACCTGGTGATGGTTAGAGAAACACATTAACTGGGAAGGGAAAATCAGGTTTTTGTTATTGTTTTTAGGCTAGGTGGCACAAGCTACCACCAGTTACAAAGGGTACAGCCATTATCATCTATCCATCCAGTCTGCAAGATGGCAGTCCTGGGCAAAATTTGTGAGGGCCATATAGTTTTTTGGAATTTATTTATTTTTCATACCTTACAGGCTTATGTGGAGCATTAAGTAAGGAAGGACAAAAACAAGAAAATACAACGAATTCAAGATATAGACAAACAAAAAAGACACAAGGCAAGAAAGCACAAACTTATAAACAAGTACTACAGTTATAATGCTATAAAACAGTGGAAAGAATTCAACAATATAATGCTCACAATAAGTATACATACAGCATAATAAATATAAAATGTTTGGGCAAAAACGAGCTGGCAATGGTTGAACATAATACACATGCTTACATTTCAAACTCAGCGAGAAAAACGGATGGATAGGTTAAACAACGGTGTATGAAATATATTTACTAAGCTGCTTCAGGATGGAAATGCTGTAGATATAAAAAGTGACCTAAGATTCTCACAGAACAATGGAACACTTTTAGTGTGCTGTTCTCTACATATTTCTTTACACCCTTTTAAATGCTAGAATAGTTAAATTATGAAAATAAAAATGCAAACTATGATAAATGCAAAAAAAAAAAAAAAAAAGTTGGATGGGGAGGTTGCAGAATTCAAGATTATGGAGAAATGTCATCTGGTCTTGTCACCTTCCACAGGGTAAAATATATTGTCTTGGTTCTCCCCTCTCCCGAACTGCAGCAAGATTAGCAAAAGATGTAAGGAAGGCTGAAAAAGAAATATGATGGCTTCACACAAACTCTGCTTGGAGAGGGGGGTGATGGAAAGGGAAAAGATGTGGGAGGGGAGAAAACACTCAGATCTGGGAAGTAAAAAATGTGTGTTGGATGCTAATTACATAGGCCATTCCTGAAGTTGTCTTTTAAAGAAGTAATGGGAGAAAAGATGGTCCTAATTACTGCTATACCATTATTATAAAACATGGTCCAGCATAACAATTTTTTATAAAAAGAACTAGATGGCTCAAAACAACTTTCCAACTTCTACCAGTTGGAAAGTTCTCATCTTGCCCTTGATCGCTACCTATAAACAAATGGTACCACACAGTTCTTATTTTCAAGAATAATAGAGCAGAGCATTTATGACCTCATATCTTGTAGTGCATAGTATTTCCAGTTGAAAAGAAAATCTTGTGTATAAAAAAAAATTGGCAGCGACCTTTATCTTCGAAGTCCTATAATTCATGAAATGCAGTGTTTAGGAGCTTCACGGAAATAGAATGTGCAAAAGACAAGGAAGGACAAGTGGAAGACTACACAGGACAAGTGCTTTTTCTCAGCTGACATCTTAATTTGGAGGAGGACAAAGGCAAAAACAAAGCAATTTTGTTACAGTCTAGGAGAAATTACTTCAATTGTGTGGAAGACATGAAACAGTTATTTGGGAGTGAACAACCTACATTCCTATCATTTTTGGGGAAATTGAATTGGTGTGTCATGTGACCAGGAAGAGGGAGAGGAAAGGGAGACAACTGGGGCAGGGGAGGGGCCCTATAAGACGGTGAGAAAAGGGGTTGGGAGAGGGAGGGAGGGAGAGGGAAGCGATGAGAGAGGAATGGGGGAACTTAATTGGTGTTTTTCTTCCTAGGTTTACAGCAGCTATGTCTCTGCCTCTCCACCCGGAAAGTTGCCAAAGTGCTTCACAAGCAGCTTTCTACTTGAGAAGGGAAATGAATTGCACCACTGCACTAGTTCGCTTCCTACAGAAGTAACAATGGCAAATTCTTCACATTTTCTACATGGACAGGTGAGTATCATGCATTGTAATATACTACTACATGAGCTAAAAGTTTTCATAATTTTGTGAAGTAGGATTGCCTCAAAGCCAGAAATAAAAACCTTTTGAAAAGAGCCGTAAAACAATTTGAGAATTGTAAAAGCCTTACAGATATTTGACTGTCATTCCAGTGTGTTATTGAGTCTCTGAACTTGCTCTTTTCATTTAATACTGTCCACCAGATTCATAACTGTCCACACTGTGGACCTCCGTTATGCCTCAGACATTATTCGTAATGAATGTAAAAATAAAGATGCAGACCAAGGAACGACACAGCAGACAATGGCTTATCTGGTCTATTGTTTTTGGTCTGCATTCTTACTTTTATGCTTTTTTACATTTGTCAGACATAACGGTTCAATTTTCAGCCATGTTACATCATATACCATGATATATGTGTCATAGATATCTGATAGTGCAATACCTAGACTATTACAGAGTCTACACTCGGGCTGGTTAGTGTGGTGTAACTGAAAAGAATCAGTGCCAAGACACCTCAAACAAGTAAAAGAGACTAACAGACAGTGCTCATTCTGTTCATTTCTTTTACTTGTTGTTTCTTAGTACTCTGATTTTTTCCAGTGATGGCTATGATCTCTTTCTTCTATTATGGGCAGTAAAAGAATTAGAAACTATTTTCTCCCTCCCGATTTGTGGAGTTCGATGATTTACTTGGGGGAGCAGGTTTCCCTCTATGGGTATGTATGCCAGAATTCAAATCTATGCTTCCCTCTAGTTGTCTCTACTTTTTTATGAACATCCTGGTTTATCGATAACGTGCAAGTGTTATAATATCCACCATTTTAAAAGGTAAGAATATCTGTTGACTAACACAGAAAAAGGTATTTATTATTTTTTTTAATATAAACTATTACTAGAAGGCAAACTTTTTTTTAGAGATACTTGATAGTTTAGTTGCCAAGTCTTTTTATCCTAAGACATACTAATAATTTTTACATGAATAATTATGAATTACTCAGTACATATACTCTGTTTCATACTTAGTGTGTAATGCTGTCAAAGCTACTGTTGCGAGCAAGGGGCTTGATATCGTTGATCATTTGCACGTGTTCTCGCGCAAACAAAACCATAGATGAAGCCATGCGCTCGCGCCAGTAGCTTTGACAGCGTTGCACACTAAGTATGAAACAGAATATAGACATTGGAACTGCTCTTACCAATGTTTAGCTGCCTGGCTGTTTAATTTTAGAGCGGAGCTCTTAGGTGCCCGTTTTTGGCTTAAAGGCCGACGCACACATCGCGCTGTCCACTTTTGCCCGCCTCCTCCTTTCCTATATCCTCTCCACTTTTTACCTTGACTCCCTTCGCAGCTTAGGAGAGGGGTCCGCTAAAAGGATTATCTTCCCTGCAGAAAACCGAGGGGAGGCGTGATGTAACTGGTGACGTCACTAATGACGTCATCAGTGACGATGTTGATGACATCATCAGTGACGTCACTAATGACGTCATCAGTGGCGATAACGTCATCACGATGACGTCATCGTCACCGTCATGTGACCTCACAGAGGTCCCGTGACTCCGTGAGGTCACGTGACCCTCGTGAGGCGACGGCGACGCCGCTCGAAGGGAGGCGTCGCCGTCGCCCTTTGAGCCTAATAGTCATGCCAACATCTTTTGTACAGTCCTTGCCAAGCTTCAACATTAGTTTTGTAGTAAAAGGTGTACCAGCTTCTGATGAAGAATCTAAGCTTCCACATTTGATAATCCTTTCTGCCACCTAAGAGCACTCATCTTTAGTTTTATTTAAAAAAAAATTTTTTTGACATATCTTGCTGCACTCAAAGATATTATGTGAACTAGTAAGTACTATCAAATTCTGGTGACAAGGTACTGGAGTGAGTGAATACCCCAGAGAGTGGAATAGGCAGAAAGGCAAGAATGTGAAAAAAGACGCTATGCTAAACATTCACGAATTAGTTTATGGCAGTACGAGACATTATTTAACAAACATTTCATGCAGCATTTTCCTAACAGCCTGACAAAACCTAAACTGTTTGAAGTAATGGCAGCAGAGTAATAGACCAAGTGCCCCGGCCCGCGCTAAAAGAATCATGAAAACGGCTTTCCTTCAGCCCCTTACTAATCGGTAATTTCAACCCTATTCTTGTTTACACGGGTTCTGAGCGTAATTCGGAGTCACCCTGAATAAGCGTCTGATATACCCCAATGACCCGTCAAATCGCTTTTAAACTTTCTCCTCAATGTCAGCGTTTTTGATACTGTGCATGCTGTCCACCCTTCAACTTGGATGGGCTACAGAAATCTCTTACATTATTATCATACTGATATTAAGTTAGAAACGCTAAAAATGCTATAGACCTTTTCACTTCAGTAGTTGCCTGACAGTCGGGTAGAGGGCGCTGGCGCACTCACCGCCATGAGGTTGCTTCAATTTGGTTGGTTTCGTTTTCAACGAGCACGCGATGGTGGAGCTATTTCGTGCCGTTTTCGCTTCTTTTATGTTACAAATTTGTTCCTTGTACCACACAGCGCATGAAACAATGGTACTGAGCCACCTGGAAAACCAGGAGGTGGTTTCAGGCCTAAATTGCGAGCACTTACACGAACACCAAATGCGTCTGATTACGTCCATGGTTCATTCCGACCACTTTCGGCGGTGAAACAATTACGCTGATGCACAGGATTACTATCATTCACGGCCGTACCTGTGGACACTAGTTTCCAGGAAAATAAATAAATAAGGAGCAGGACAAGCTCCGCTTCCAGCCGCTCCAGCACGCTCTCGTTTCCTGCCGCCGTGCTTTGGCTGCGCGTGCACCGTGTGGTACGGCAGGTAGATGGCTCGCGCTCAAGTAAGAAATTATATCTGCTCATCTTATATTGCAAGAGACAATAATGCATGAGTGCTTAGTGAAGATGCAGGTTGACAACATGATCAACAATGTGCTGAATCACGAAGAACAGATGAACGGACAAGTTTATTGCTCGATGTTTGTTTTTTGGGCACCAAGTTTTTATAAAGTTCGCACTAGAAAAGTATTTTATAATGACGTAGAGAATATTCAAAAGAACTAATATTGTCTTGTCCTGTTTCATTAAAACAGAAATAAGTTAGAGAAATATTTTTATAGATCACCTAGGCCGACTAGAAAATTTCTTTAACTAAAGTAGTCACTAACAACATTTCACAATATTGGCCTTATGAAATAAACTATTTGTTGCATGTATGGAGATTTGCTTACGACGTTCTCAAGGTATAAGATAAGTGACTTTCCTTCAAATGTGGTCTGAAATTCATCTCGCGTAAAATTTCACAAAGAAAATTAAAGGGCGCAAAAGAAGTGATATATAGGAAGTTTGGCTGAAGTCGAGCGCCAGGCGCCACGCCATGCATGGACCTATGCAGAAAGCTCTTTACTGGTTTGAGCCGATGCGCTTTGTAGATTTCGGCGTCGCCAGCCGTCAGCCGCCAGTCGTCAGTAAATCCCTATTCGCCGTCAACAACGTTGCACTCGGGCGATTTTCGTGCGGACAGATTTTTTTCGGTGTCACATATTGTGTACCAAATGCACTCTCAAGCTGTCTGTAACTGTTTCTCACAAGGGGAGTCGCAATATTTTTTTTAATTAAATAACTGAAATGAACTGTGTAATTATCTTAAGAAAATAATTTAGGCAATTAAAAGCGTATGGCACCAAGCACGGTATACAGTTTCTTGGAAATCATATATAAAGCGATCAAGCGAAAATTTATATCGCAGAGACGATTAAGAACGTAGGTGATATTGTAAAGGAATTGTTTGGCGTTGACGTACCATTATTCATAGAATAAAAAAAATCAAAATTAAACGTTTGTACTCCATCTTGTCCACAAGTTCCCCCACATACCGTAGTCGAGAGCAACCGTTTTCGATCTGTAATAAATACAAAACTCGATGCTTTCAGGAAACACACGTGATTAATTTTGCTGAGTAATTTACTAATTTTGTCCCCTTCCTTGAGATCCTAAATGCGCGATCATATATATACTTACCGTGTTCTTCCTATTACGAATGTTCCGCCGTAACAATTAGGAACCAAACCTGAGTTTTCATATGTTACTGACTTTAGAGTCCTCGTGCTGTTTTAGAGTCATGCATGTATGACTATGTGCGTGAGCGCTAATGCTGATTTATGAGCCCATATACTATAGCATCTTAACAAGTATCCGGCGAACCGACGGTAAAAATGGTCAAATTTTGTTACAAACTAACTGCAGAAGTTGTGCACATAATGATGTAATGCAATTATATGGTAAAGATAAGTATCGAACAACGCCTTCTGGAGTAAGGTAAGAAAGTCGGTGAAACGCGACGAAAAACACGAATTTAACGCATCCCCCAAGGCGTGGAGTAGCGCGGAGGGGAGAGCGGAGCAACAAGTTGAAGCAACCTAATGGCGGCCGCATCACGTGATTCCAAGATGGCAGCGCCCATGTGGCGGAGGGTGAAAAGGTCTATAAACAACCCCGCGGACTCCGAGCTAAATCCTGGTTTTTGTTGTTGTGATTTATCGGCTTTTTAAGCAATTCCTGCTCAAACAACCATCACGGAGTATTCACTGGCGGTCATAGCTGAGCTTGCGGCTGCTTTCTTACCACCGGAGAAGAGAGAGAGGGGAAAGAGGGTTTTGTACGAGTTTTGAGTGGCAAGTTAATCTTCTATAATCTTCTAGAGGGAGAATAGCGACGTCTGGAGAAGCCTGTGACCTACAAAGGAGGGTCCTGGTGATGAGAGGATTTCTCCTTCCCCTCTTCTCGAGTGGTTGCCCGTGAGCTGACGGGAAACTCTTCCCGGGCATGCGCTGTGAGCAGTTACCTCAAATATGGCATCTAGTGAATACCTCAGATATCTGCAGCGCAGCCAGGTTGAAAGGTGGGACCGCATGCGCAGTATCAAAAATGCTGACGTTGATGAGCAATTTTAAAAGTGATATGACAGGTCCTTGGGGTGTATCAGGTGTTTGTTCAGGGTGATTTCGAATTACGCTCAAAACCCGTGTAACGATGGAGTTGGTCGAAAATTAGCGAATGCTAGGGAGCTGGAGGAACACCGTTCCCATGATTCCTTGAGTACGGGCCGGGGCGCTTGGGAATACTGCAAATTGCCTATTTCTTAGTAAATTCCATCTTGTCATTCCCACAGAATTCTATCCCAATTTTCATGGTCTGGTCACATCGTGCAGAAAGAAAAGACAACAGTGCCAAACTTGG